CAGGGTCAACCGTCACGTTCGAACATTTTCGGGATTTTTGCGACCCCCCTCTGGAAGGGGGTCCAATTGCGACCCCCACCAATACACAATTGCGACCCCCCAATACAACAGCCATCCCACCACCGCGACCTCCTCTTCTATAGTATTTGATTCTGAGACCAGTTGACACAGCCCAAAACCTACTAATGATCAGGCCAAGGCCCAACAGGGTTGCAGGTCGTTGATATAAGTTCATTGGATAGGATGTGAGGTCGTGTGAGGCTGTATCCAGATTTTCCTTGGTTTTTGTGTTTGCTTATCAGTGTGTCCTTTTCACTTCTTTGCCTACGGTCCTAATGAAGCATGAACTCCTAAACTCTAAGCGACATTGTGTCAGCGGCTGCTATGTGGAAGCTTGTGCCAATCCATTTCTGTTCAATGAAAACAGCACCGCATTTACAGCCATGCGATGCAGTCAAAACGTCTGTGCCAGCAAGGTGGAGTCTCCATCTGAAATTTCGTTATGTATACACGCAATAGTACACAGCGACATTGAAGCGAACCATGAAATTACGTCTTCGTTCGAACTTGAGTTAACTTCAGTGTAAGTTGCAAAGTCTCAGCTGTTTAGACTTTTTGTAATTAAGACTTGATCGCTGCCTTTCTCATCACTGATATTATTGACTTAAGACGACATTTCGTTTCGAAGGGATGTGGATCGGCGAATTTGTTTGTTTTATATCAGCTTTAACCGCATTGATTCGAACGAAGACGCTTATGTGGAATTATAGTTAAGGTGACTAGTCGATTTCTTATCTTACTTAGATGTGATCATTCCTCTGAATCGGATATGAACATGCTCGAAGCAGTTGTCTGAAAATGATCATTGCCATATCATTTTTTTATGATTTCATTCGATTTATCCAACATCTGGCTTCTTTCACTCGAATTTGTCTTTTTTACAACTCAAATTACACTGGTAGAGGTTTTTTCGCTTACATGTGTACTTTAGGCCTGTTATTAAATGTAGTCACTGCAGTGTGTGCTCGCCTCTGCGATTATCCTCCGTGTCTCGAGTTGGTGTAAAGCGTGGCGGCAGCCAGTTGAGTCGAGGCCTCACCTCTCGAACACCATAATAATTCGTTCTCTTCTTTTCGACGCCTTTTTATTTTGAACCTTGAATTCTCAAGTGTAAGAATGCTTCTTCTCCAAAGGTAGTGCAGAAATTTACGTCCAAGTAAATTTTGTTTCTTTTAGTATTACATGATTTAGTATTCAGGGGGGCCTGAAGAAACTTGTGCACTTGTGATTTGCGTATTTCTTCTTCGGAGTAAACCGCGGTCCTGGCTCGTATTTCTTGCAGAAACCTTAGGATTTCAACTGTTTCTGTAGAGTTGCGATCACCTTTTATTATAAATGATTCTGAGATTCCCTTGTTGGCCTATGGTTGGCGATTCCTTCTATTCTATTCTTTTTCCACGCAAAACTATCACACAAAGCTGCCATGTTCAAATAGCAGCCGACTGTTTTCTTTCTTCTTCCGTTCATTTAATTTCATATTGAGATTAGTCGGACTTAATCTGATTTTCATGAAGAAGAAATAACTCGGCTCATTCTGCTGAAATATGTATTTCTCTTACGTGAGCATTCATCCATTGATACCTCTTAACTATCTTAACTTACGACCTATCTTATACAAGTCACTATTTTGACTATGGGGCATTACGAGATGTTTACGTCTGGCTGTGCCTTCGCACGATAATCTCAAATCTACCTGCCAAATCTGCTAAACGATATTCTGGAAGGAGTTATGAAGAAAGAGCGCAGCGGTAGTGGTCGAGACTCGCAGCCAAGGCGTTGTAGGACACTGCCTTATCGTTGTTTATTTTGCATTTTGTGGCAGTACAGATAGATAGTCTGTCAAAGGCCATTTCAGTCGTATTTCTGGAAAAAGCAGACCACTAAACGTCAAGGAACTGATTCCACGACGTCTTGGCTGAAAGTTCCGACTACTATCGTTGCGCTATCTGCTTCCATAAATTATGGGAGAACATCGTTTAGCAGCGGTTTGGCAAGATGATTGTGCGGGCAGCGCGCAGGCTCGGATCACATTCCTTCGAAATAACATCTTTTAATGCGGCATGGCGACGCTCGGTTCCTTCTCTAGTAGTTCGGCGAAAAAATACTAGCGCAACTCTGAAAAGCTAAAATAATTGTATGAATTTGCTATGTTTTAACGAATCGCTCATAATAGGTAGCTTTGTTTAGCCTTTAACATTATGCTACTTCATAGAAGCATGACCTTTCACGGTACTTTTGCGATGAACTTCAGTTATCCTTTTTCATCGGGAGAGCCGTATGTTCCTGCAGGAAACACGCAGGCTCGTCGATGAATGTTTAGGGCAGTACTGAATGGAAGCTTGAAAATTGTGCTGGACTCAGTTTTATGTCATAATCGGCCAGACTTTGCTCGTAATTTGGGGACCAGATGTGCCTGCATGAATGAAGAAAAGACCATGTATACGTCGTAAGAACAACGCGCAGTGTTGAATTAGTACTTTAGAGAAATTCAAAATTATAATGTAGCTATGGAAACGCGAGACAGTGCTCAGCATGTGAAAGTGCATTACTCGATTTTCTTCACTATTTTAGGCCAATAACGTAAGCAGTATGTAGGAGCTTCACGTGAAGTGATAAAAATGAGGTGTGTTTATAATGATTTTTGGAGCCGACTTTTTAATGCAAATAGAAGTTTTGTTGTTCATATGCAACGCGTGTGAGGCCGTGAAGGCGTCTCATAGTTGAAGGGTGAGTACATTTAAGCTGACGTGAGCGCACTTATAGCAAGCTTATGGTTAGCACTAACAAGGGAGGTCGTTCAGGGTGTGCCAAGCTTTTTCAAAATGGTTTCTTGCATGACATTGGGCACATATGGGGACCACAGAAGCATGGTTCATTTTTCCTGAACGGCTCTCTGAATACCAGAAAAGGGGTCCCTAGTTCGATTCCTCGTGGTGACAAGTTTTTGCATTTCGTGTTGACGTTTCCAAATTCGCGCAAAATGGAGTTAGCATGAATAATTAGTACCAAATTCATGATTAGGAACGTCAGTAACCCTTACAAATAGACTTTGATTGAAAAACTGGTGAAAAAGGTGTGACTAGGGACCCCCTTTTCTGGTATTCAGAGGGCCGTTCAGGAAAAATTAACCATGGTTCTGTGGTTCCCGCATGTGCCTCTATATCATGCAAAAGACCGTTTTGAAGCCTCAGGGAGAGGAGGGAATCCTGGGGGAGAATGTGAGCAGATTGTGTTCTTCCTAGCGTTTCTCCCCTCTCCTAGGCCTGTGGTTAGTCCTACCATCAACCCTGTTTTGAATGCCCCCCCCCTTCCCCTCAGATAAGAGCGCCGCGTGTAACACTCATTGCCAGCTATTGCTCGCAGCTCCTTTCCATAGCTAATCTTTGTAGAAATTTCTCGACATACGCAGATGCGAGAGAAAATTTATTTTTGTCGTTTGCTTTGATCAAAGACAAAGGCGATAATATTATTTATTTCCATCTTTTCGACCTAAGTGAAAGCAAAGATACCACCTTAAGTGGACGTCTGCCTCCACGTCAAAAAAAACCTTAAACTGGAAAGTACTCTCTTTACTCCTTTGTACTGCAACTTATTTTTTATTGCTCTTCCATGTGAGTAGCTTTTGTGCCAAATTTTAAATTTTCTTCTATTTTCTTTCGGTCGGCTTTATAACTCATGAACTGGAGAGGAGTTTTCGGCATTGATAAGAGAGGAGAAAGATAAATGAATAAAGTCGATTTCTGTTTTCAGTTCAGCTTAGCCCATAGATTTGGGCAGATGGTTGGTGAAAAACATGACATTTCAAAACGTTTTTGTTCTGCTCTATCTGCTAGCGAATCGAATAGGCAGCTAATGAAGGCAGTGCAATGGTTCAGGCCTCTTTTCAATACTTGCTTATGTGCCCATTTAAATCGCAAGAGCATCTGATATTAATCTGCTATTCATGATTTAAAAACATAGTTCAGAGCAAGTCTCGAAGACATCCTGGAGAAGTTCTTAAGTTTTCAAGACAAATTTTTATATTTTTTCTTACTCGGCTTATTAAATTAGGTTTCATATTTGTTTGAGAAAAATAAGCGATTTTTATTAATTGTTGCCCATGTTTGGGATAGTCGAGGGATTTCGAACTCGTCCCGTGTGTAAATATTCACATTGTTCCATTGTAATAAATAGATATTTCTGAAAGTGCATTTTTTTGCCCAATTTTGTGACACATTGCTTTCTGTGTAAAAGCAATTTATATCCTGTGTCGCTCTTTGCCTAATTTACTCGTTTATCTTTCAAGCCTTCTC